TGACACTGAAGACTGGAGTAATGATGCTGAAAATACAGCTGTGCATCACAGAAATAAATTCGATTTTAATGTATAATAAAATAGAAAGCAGTTATTTTAAATAGTAAAAATATTTCACAATGCTTTTGCTGTATTTCTGATCAAATAAATGCAGGCTTGGTGAGCAGAAGAGACTTCTTTAAAAAAAACATTCAAAATCTTACTGTTCAGAAACTGTTGACTGCTAGTGTACATAAGACCCAAGTCATATGTGTTTTTTTTTTGTTTGTATTTGTTTTTGTTTGTTTTTTATTGCAAGTATAAACACTTAACATTCAACAATTAATGTAACATTGGATGACATTATGAATACAGAAATTATATAGGAAGACAAAGAAGAGAGAAAAAAAATAATAATAAAAAATAAACAAGAATACATAGATAAAACAAAAAATACAGAGGTAGTAAATCAAAAATTATGTACCATTCAGCAGATCATTATACAGTTTCACAAATTTGACACTTTTTTTGGTATTAATATTTTTTAGTGTTATAATTAAGTAGTTAAAGTCACAAAGAAAATTATGTAATTTTGGAGATGTTGAAGAAAATTTACATTTATGAATATAATATTTTCCTAATAAAATAAATACATTTCCTATATATTCTATGTTATGTTTACAATGAGAAAAATAACAAAATATATCACACATAGTAACATCAATGTCTACATTAGATTTTGAAGAAAATAATTTTGACACGTCAGACCAAAATTCCTTAACAAGGGGGCATTTGAAAAAAAGATGATCAATAGACTCACCAAGTCATATGTGTTGTCAAACAAAAGTTGTGGTCTGTGACGTAACGTAGGTGCGTGCGTGCGTGCGTGCGTGCGTGCGTGAGTGTGCTCTGCTCCAGCTCGCAGCATCCGCGGCAGCAATATGGCGGCGGATCCGGTTACCGCTCCGATCAGCTGTTGATCATCTGGATCGATTCCGTGTGTCCGATCATCCGCTGGAAACTACATGCGTCCGAGCACACCGATCATCCGAACCGAGTCATCATCCGACTGACAGAAGGCCGATTAAAGCGCGTTGATGACGGGAAGCTGAAGCGGCGTAATCATGGATGTGTTCGGCTTTCTCAATCTAAACGAACTCGCTCTGGGACTGTCAAACCTCTCCATGTTCCCCTGCTTCGACATGGCGCATTATATCATATCTGTGATGAGTCTGAGAGAGCAGCCAGGTAAGAGAATCCATTCTTTATTTATAATGCAGATAGGTTCTTAATCATTGTTTTATTTGTGCTTTGACAGGTTGCCAACACTTTTGACGTGAACATCTTTAGTGCAAGTCAGACACGCAGATGCAGGCATTTTCTGCATCAATCATCAAAGTTAATGCATTCAAAATGTTTTATGAATATTCGTCAATCGTCATGCATTTGAGTTTTGGCACGTGCGTAAACAGTGCAGCGCGCGTGCAGGACACTGTTTATCAGTGGCTTTATAATAGTTAGATTACAGTATGTGCAACATGAGGGTCCTGTCCTCATTAGAACGCATTCATGTTTATGATTTGATGCAGGTCAGTGTGCGTGTTTACATGAGTGTGAAAGCAGAAGTTACTTGAGCAAAGGCCAAAGAGAGGAGAAATGCATTGAATCATTAACTCTCTGTCAATAGTCTCTCTCTGTTTTTCTCATAGAAGCATGCAAATGTGTGGTTAAACATGCATGCAGGGTGGAGGCACAAATCCTGTTTGGCGGGCGTTTTGCATTAACCAAACAAGCATTAAAACACATGCATTTGCATTAACCAAAGTGTGGTTAGCCAGTGCTGAGATCAGCCGTACAGACGTGCCCTTTGCTCTTGTACCGTGACCCATCAGAGCTGGGTTTGTGTTCGCATCAGAGCAGTAATGCATGCATGCTCTCTATTGTATTGGCTGCCGCAGCTGCAGTAAATCGCAGGCTATTTTAGAGCCTCTTGTCAATGTTTAGAAGTCCACTAGCATATGGATGTAAGACACTACAGGCAAAAACGTTGTTGTTTTGTTTTTGTGCATTGATCAATTTTGAGATTTTTGGCTGTTTGGCTCTTCATAATGTGTGGGTTTTTTTTCTTCTTCAGAATAGAGGAAAGAAAACATTTAAGCGTTGATTTTTTTTGCACTTTTTCCTATTTGCGTCTGTAAATTTAAATTACAATACATATCTTTAAAAGTTTTTTCTTTACTTCAGCAGCACTTGCATACACCAAACTTTACAGTTTTATTCCTATCTATATTCTGAAGGTTTCTACAGAGGGGTTTGTTCATATATCATGCACACTGATTTATACAACATTTTATTCCTAAAAACATGGCGAAAAAGCATTTTTTTTAAAGGCTGTGAGTTTTTTCTCCACTTCAGCAGCACTTAGATGCACCAAAACTTACAGTTTTATTCCTGTCTATATTCTGAAAGGTTTTACTGAGGGATTTATTTGTACATCATTCGCTTTATTCTTTTTTTTCACAACACTTTATTCCTAAAACATGGTGAAAATTTTTTTTTTTCTGTTTTTTGATAGTATTTTCTGATTTATGGAGTGATAAATAGAGAAAAACCTTTTTGAACCTGGCTTTATTTTAGTTTTCAGATTCCTGTTCTGGAAGTTTATGTAAATGAGTGCATATTTAATTAGAAATTTATGCATAACATAATGGAAAACTTGCAATTAAAAAAAAGTTTGCAACTCTGGTTAAAGTATGGTTATATCTATTAGTTTTTTTACCCTGTTCATCTCTTGCCTTAAAGATAACAGACATGAACTAAAGCCGCAAAACTTTTTATTTCAGTATTTTTAAACTCATCCAGATGGACCCCTCACATCTTTTGTTGTGTGTAAACCTGCATGAGTAACCCAATGTTTTCATTGCATTTCATGAAAGGATTAATGAAACGGCAGACCAGTTCTATGACGCACTTCATTGTGTTCTGGTTTCCTAAGCAACTTTTCTTCCATGATGAATGTGTTTAGCTTCCTAATAAAGCCTTCTTTCCTGTTTCCTGTTCTCCGCTCGGGGAGTTTTTCCCAGAGCGCCGCGTGTCACTTCCTGTCTTCAGACTCATGCATGTTTAATGGGAACAGTGTTCTGTGGAAGCAGAAACTCGTTCTGTTCTGGTCTTCAGCTCACAGAACGCTCTTCTTCTCTCATGCAGAAACGAGAATGACTCTTCTGTTTTCTTTATACTCTTACAACAATGTTCTGTGGCAGTACTACGGTTCAGAAATGACCAAAAACATTTGAATATACTCTTTAAGAGTCACTTCAGTGATATTTATCTCTAGTTCAGTGAGTGTTTAGAGCAGTTTCGAAGGTCTTGAGTAAGAATATGCATTATTTTATCAATAATATATCTTTATATATAGTAACTAATAATGTGATTTTTAGCGATTTTGCCACTATTTCCATCCATGTCCATGCAAGTTTTGGGACTTTTTAAAATATGTATTTTATATACAGTATTTTGCTATTTATTTTGGGCACCATATTTGAATTTTCTGTATGCATAGAACAGCTGGGTGATCTACTATTACATTTGCCAAAACAGATGTGATGTGTTGTAATAACTCTATACATATTTCATTTTCTAAAAAAAATTGGAATCAAAATGTCATAACTTGATGCTCTGAATCTGTCACTACTTCTGTTTCAGTGCAACTTTAAATCATTATTTAATCACACTCCCAAACATTAAAACATTTTTCTTAATATAATTGGATTTAAAATACAAAATACTGTATTTATTTCTGAGATGATGACAGGACTCACTCACGGGATGTAATGAGGTCATGTGACAAACGTAATCAGAACAACAATGTAGCAAACCATTATTTGAAACATTCTTCTATTTTGTATCATGCAATAGTTTCCGTTCACTTTGAACAGGAAGAAACTACTGACAATGCGAAGCAACTGCATAGCAACGACTCGGAACACCTTAGTAACCACTTTAATCTTTGTGAAATTTTGTGAATGTTTTTCATTTAGGGTCATGAATTATTGTAGATATGTTTTGGAAGGATTTATAAATTTTATGACTTTTGTGTTGGGGTCAAATTGATCCCCTTTGGTTTCCATGCAGTTTGCCAAAAAATCAACACTTTGAAAAACAGAAAATCTTTATTGTAGCCTGTCAAACACTAAAATATGAAATACATGAGAACTTATGAAATTTAAGGCTCAAAGTTTAAATTTGAGACTCAAAATTGAGACTGAATCAAGGAAATGTCGCTGTTTCTTTATCTAGTTGAGTTTCACAGTCAAAAAATGTGTTTTTTGGATCTCGATTACTAGACTATTGCAACACTGAAAAGAAGACTGCAAAAGCCATTTTACACTCACAAGGGTTTGAGAAAAAACATAGCAATAAATACTACTTACACTAAGTACAAATTATATTAGATACAATTTCTACCTTTAATTTTCATGACAAAACAGTTTCTTTTTTTTTGTCTGTGCAGCTAATTTTTAATATATAAATATGTGGGTCAAATCGACCATTAGAAATAATGCTATTAAATTTCAAAATTTTTTAAATGTTATTTTTAGTCTCTGACCAGCTAACAATAAAGGTTTTCTGTTTTTACATGAATTTTCAATGTTTTTCATAGTGTCCATTTTTGTTGAATTGCATGGAAACCAATGTGAGTTAAGAAAAATGCACAGACTGTGTTGAATCAATGCTAGCTGACTGTTTGTGCCGTCTGTAGTAACGCTCTGCTTGTGATGATGTTGCAGGCGTCTCTCTCTCGCTGTCTCTGTCTGCAGGTAGACAGGTACGTTTCTACAGCATGACTTTAACACACACACACACACACACACACACATCTCATCTCGTGTTGTTCTGCCTCACTGTGGTTTATCTGTAGATAAACGTCCATCGGTCGCAGGAGCCTTGCAACACACTGAGAGCATGACGAGTGTCTGCAAGCCTGTGTGTGTGTGTGTGTGTGTGTG